TGCATGAGTTTTATCATTCTCTAATCGGACATGATTTCTTAAATCATGCAAAGTTTAAAACGATTCCGCTGCTAGGTGAAGTTTTCTTACACTTTGCTCGGTTACTGCCCTCAATTCTCTCATCAATTTGTTTCAAGCATGTTTTCTTTAATCGTGTCAACGGCAAGAAAATTCTCACCGGTAGTATAAATTAATCTTCTTGGTCCTCATAAAAATGATAAAATTCCAATTTGAGTTATTTGTATATTTAGAACAATCCTCGATTACTGTATCGTACTCTGCATTTTCTGTTGTTTGATTTTCATAGGTTTTCGTTTAGTTTGTACCAATAATCAAAGACAAGAAAAGCAGCAATAAAATCATCCAAGGTTGGTTATCACGAACAAAGTTATATTTAACTTACTTTCGCAAGTAGGTCCAGTGTATCCTGGTGTACATGTACATTGACTTGCACTTTGACATCCTTGTACTATACATGTATATGGCTGAACTAAAAGTAATTATATAAGAATAAATGGCATTGAATGTAACTTATTGTGACACATTGCAATATTGAGACACCTTAGAATTAAGTTATTGTGGTACATTATTATTTGTTATCATAATTTATATACAGTGTATGATGTTAAATATTGTGACGTAGTGAAACACACCAGAACATATTTATCAAACATATTGTTAGATATCAAGTAATATACAGGTAAAGTGTGACATATTCAAGTGTTACAACATCTAGGGAAATATTGTGAGTTATTTAGACAGATTCAAATAATGTAAAATATAGTGACATATTATGAAATACTGTGACATATTCAAATTTTGTAACACATAGGGACATATTGTGACATATTCAAATCTTGTAACATATAGCGAAATATTTGAAATAATTGTGACATTCTTCAAGTTATTAAGACATCTTGTAATATTTTAAACAAATTTTGACAAATTCAGACAAATTTTGACATAATTAGATACTGATCATGACATACTCAGACATTTATACATTTTAACATAAATCTCTTTTTTAATATCAGATAAGTGCAGTCATACAAATTGTGATATAGTCATACATATTACAAATACAAAAACAAGTACATACAGCAATATTTAGTTTTATCGTTATTTTGTTGGTTTTTTTTGTTTGTTTTTTTGTTTGTTTGTTATTTTTTTTTGGGGGGGGGGGGTGAAATAATAAAGGGGGAATGAAATTCAGCGATACATATAGGTATGTACTTTGTCTTATTTTATTGAAATTTTTTAAACAGGAAGAGCAATTTGCTGTTATTGGTGGAAATAAATTTTCAACTTGCTAGTTTTCATTCATAATGGGTGTCATGTACACATGTTATGAAAGACTTGGATGTGTTTTTTAAAATGATTGAAAGGTGATTTTACCAGCAATCGTTCAGTTGATAATGAAATAAGTTCTTCATTGAAACAAACATATTTCCTGAATCATTTGTTATGGCAAGGTAATTATTGATTATCAAGTAACAATTTTAACAGTACTCACGTGGAAAATCTGCATCAACATATCCGGGATTACAACACAAATACGAGGTAGGTTGATTAACACAATCTATTGAAACACAAAACTAAGATCGGTATTGTTTATTTGCAAATTTACTATGAATCTTGATAATAGTTTTCCGATTAATTAGCATTTGCTGTCCACTTATTTTCAATATTTTTTTTCACCCTAATATGTATATCTGCTTATATAATATAATCTCCATTGTGTGTACATATGCGTTAAACTATTTTGTGTTATGCCAATTAAGAATGGTGAAATCTTTAAGAAAAAAAAGGGAAACAAGAATAAGCCTTAAAAGGAACAGCCGCGATAACAAAACACTATGCAATTTTATAAAATCAATGACTAAAAATATATATATTTACTGCCGGGTGAGTAAACAATTCTGGAAACAAAGTGATCCCTCGGAAGCATAAATCACAACAAAATTACATAAGAATTGCAGACTCGGTTTGATTGAGTCTGTACATGAGAGATAATGAATAAGTGCAACATCTCACGCCCCTAGCACCGGTTTGAGCGGTACTCAATTCTCAACACTTAATAGTGCTGGCATCAATGATCCCGAAGGACCAGAAAATATAACAACACTGAAGTGAAGCCATTATAAGAAGCTTTAAAACGGTTATACTAATTGTGCTTACATATGTCAAAAACATTTACACAGATCATCATCTTTTATGAGATAGAGTCAAAATCTCTGTTTCTAAATAATTCACCTAATATAATATGAGAATGGATGTAAATAATCTTATCCGTTAAGGGGGGTTAGAAATCATCGATAACTTAGTTTAAAGGGATAAACCTGCACTGATTGTGTCTGTCATATGTATACATAAATTGATACAATTCACACCGGTTCAAGATACTGAATTTGGGGTGACGCATGTTCGGAACCATAGTTAAACATACTTAACGTATTATTTGGATATGTTGCTTATGAACGGATTCTTGTTTTTCCATAATAATTATAGACAAGCTATTATAACAATGAAAAACAAACGGTTCTGTACAGTTATTGCATTTGTAAACAAAGGAAATCCCTACCTAACTCCTCACAATTGGAGCCAGTGTATCCAGGGGCACATGTGCAGTTATAGTCAACTGTTCCGTCATTAAAGCATGGATTGCAGTCATTTAGTATATCTAAAATAGAAATAAAAGTTCTTTTTTTATTTGATTATTTTTATTTGAACGTGCATGCAGTATTCATAAACGCCTGGGGTACAAAGACACTTAAATATATCACGTTTCATTGTATGATGATGCAACATTTTATTCACTCAACATTATTTTCTCAGACGCCAATCAAGTACAAAATTTGAACCTATATGGTGCATTTATTTCAGAAATACAGTTTAAGATACTTTTATATAATAAAAAACCTATAAGAATTACGTGCGTAAAAGTTGGATTTTATAATCATGTTTATGATACATTTCAAGTTTTATAAAGGTCTATCTTGTTTCAAACATAAGTCAAAGGGACTCCAATGAAATATTTTATATAAAAGAGCTGGAAACATTTTCTCGAGATTTGTGTACATTTTTTTTATTGAAGGCCTGTACAGACGACTTGTATGCCAAATTCCAGATAATTCCCTCATTCCATTTTCCGAGAATAATTATTTTCATTTTGAAATATGACCATAAAAGCAGGTTGCAACTCTCTTTCACTCAAACCGGAATAAAATCGCGCAAAATTCCATTCTTAGACCAACAGTTGGAATTTGAAAATGTTAAATTATAAAAGATCAATTTGTTTAAGACTGCCTCACTCTTTTTAAAAATGTTACAGGTAAATTACGGTGGATATTTACAAAACTTCTTTGGGCAATGTGAGTTATTTCTCGTATTGCACATTGAATGGAATGGCACGATGCAATTTAAAGCTAATTTTGATTTTCACCTGTCCACTCATTATATACCCGTGGATGGACATAATGACACTTTGGGAATCTTTTGCAAATGTTATTGTTTTAAGTATCTTTGGGATATTTCATGTTTTTGGATTTTTACCATAGTATTTAAGGTATTCAAAATAAGTTGAAACTCACCGACTTCGCACACGATACCAGTATATCCCTGTGGGCATGTACACGTGAATCCATTAACAAGGTCATTACAAGTCCCAGAATTTAAACACGGTTGAGACATACATTCGTTGATTTCTGTAATTCATGTAAATAGAATCTCACCTTTTAAAACCATATTTTTTTGAACATTCATTTTTAAGTCAAGCTGTGTTGGTATGAAATAAATTCATATTTATTATATTTTGTTGAAATCATTTATCTTAAAAGTCATTAAAAAGATATTTAATATTCCTCATGCAAAGATTCGTTAAATGGTAAATATATTTTTCTACTTTTACTATATTATAGAAACAATACTGAAAATGGGAGGTACCTAATAAAATCAGAAAAATGAACAGCCGAAAGCATTGCAGACCAAACAGATATGTCTTGACTGACTTATTGACGAATGGATGGATGAATGAATTAATTAACAAATTAATCAACTGTTTTAGTGTGAAGAACTTTGCCTATTAGTATGGTAATCGTTAAATAATGGTCTTCAGCCACTTATTCATAAGACAGTATTTATAAGCGAAAAGAAAACCTGTTTCGCAATTAATGCCAGTGTATCCGGGATCACATGTGCATGTGTATTGATCTATTCCATCAGTGCATAAGCCATTAACGCACTGATTTGGACTGCATTCATTGATATCTGTATGGAGATGATAAAACAAATATAACATTCTTTCAAAAACGTTTTTTCGTAAAGAGAAAAGTCTAACAAATACACAAATTACCAAAAGAATAAGTTGCTATAAACATATTTATCTAACCTCAGTTCCGAAAAAAGTTGCTGCATCTTATAAGTGAAACTCTCGTCGATATCGCAACATTATATTTGTATAGATTTATTTTTTTCTTTATATAAAATATAAATGCTAGATTTTCTCGTAGCGTTGGGTATTACAAGAAACTGGTATTCCTTTTAGACTTCAATACATTGAAATTACGCAAAAACATCGATATTTCACCTTGTAAAAGTAATTTACGAATTTTGAACATAAAATGGTGTATGTAATTTGCGCAAAAATAAACATAACTCTAACATAACTTTGCGCCATTTGCTAAAAGGCAATTTACATGTTTCACCATACCTTTTTCGTAGAAGCAATTTGAAAGTACTCGTTTTCAAAATTCAGAAAATATTTTTGTAGCAGATATATAAATTTATACACTTTACAATATTTGTTCGTGTCACAGTTAATCTATTTTTTTTCTTTTCATGACAACAGAGTAGTGCGAAACTTTTTATGTCTGCGTTATCTCATGGTAGAGTCGTTGAAAGAAAATCCTTCAAATGTAAGCGAATATCTAAAAATGTAATGACCAAAACGTTTCTCACCTATCTCACAATCGGTGCCTGTGTAACCAGGAGCACACGTGCACGAGAACGTATTTATCCCATCATTGCATGTGGCGCCGTTTAAACAGGGCATTGGGTAGCATTCAACAATATCTGTTTAGGGTAATAATAGAATAAACAATCAAAATACTTCATACAAACCGATAAACAAATAACCTCAAATGTGCAATTCGAAATATGCGATATAAGACCATATACTTTTGGAAAATAAACTTAAAATCAAGTATATCTTCTATGACAACGGACTCTGTCAGTTCTTTACCTGTATCGTTGGCTGTAAAATATTTGGTAGATATTTGGTAAATGAACAAGATTACAAGCACAGTGTCTTTTTTGTCATATCAATTAATTAATTAAAAGACAATTTATTATTTCATCGAACCGGGCTCTCTAAAGCAACTACCACTTCCTACAAATACGCTTTACTTATAAATTTTCGTCTAGCTCAATAACTGATTTATTCTAAGAAAACAAACAAAAACACAACTGACCTATGCCACAGTGGTAACCAGTATACCCAGGAGCACATGTACAAGTATATCCATCTATTCCATCATTACATGTGGCACCATTTAAACATGGGCCAGTGGAACAATCATCTATGTCTATAATTGCATGGATAATAAAATCAATGTAGACAACATCATTTTCTTTTGTTTTCCCACAATTTATGTAAATTACAAAACAGTTGATTATTTTAAAGTTCAACATCAAACCAACAAAGTAAAAATATAATTTAATTTTCATTTGACACTTTTTTCATCATTCGTCCAAAACTAACTAAAACTAAATACACATAAGACCGTTCGTGAACTCAGATTAACAAAATTTAAGGTAAAACGTCAACTTACTTGTTTCACAATCGTTTCCAGTAAATCCTGGGGCACAAATGCATGTATATTCGTTTACACCATCGTTACATGTTCCACCATTCAAACATGGACCATTCATGCATTCATCTATATCTAAAACAGCAAAAGTTATACACAATTTTGATATCAGGTTTACAAAATTTTCTCGTTTAGGACACAAGCGTTATTTGGCATGTGGACCATACGACGCTTTTCATGGAAGCGTCACTGATAACCGCCGTGTGGTCATTTTTGCTAATGTTTCTTAATTAAAAATAAAATACCATTGTAAATTGAACCAATGAGCTGGTGCTATGGAGTAACCATGGATGGTAGCTTGCTCTTCCATCTACCGTCAAGACTCATTCAAATCAAGCCTGAAACGTTTATCAGTTTTGATGTTTGTGTCATTTTTCAATAATGCCATAATTCTTCTAATTTCTGTATCTTTTATAATATTTGAAATGTGTTATTCTTCCAGTTTTTAAGACGGCAGAATTCATTATTTCTATCTTAGTAAAACTAAGCAATATAAGCTATTTGATGATAAGAAAAGCTTAATTTAATGTAAAATACATTGATAAATAGACCAAAGTGGATGATGTTCGTCATAATAGGCAAATTCAATGATCGCAATAACTTATTATAATAATGGCTATTCTGTTATCAACTATAAGGTAGACTAACATAGCTACGACAATGACTCTCCAGATATCTTACAGCATTGGCTATAACTCCCTTTTCGGTTGTTGCAAGTAAAACATTTACTTACCATTTTCACAATTTGTGCCGTTATATCCCGGAGCACATATGCATGAGTATTCATTTATTCCGTCAACACATGTTGCACCGTTCAAACATTGCATTGGACAACAGTCGTCAATATCTGTAATACAGATAGAATATGTTATAACATATCAACACATACTAAATGAAATGAAATATTGAATCTTTTCATCAAATGCTTTATCGTTTCATTCTTAAATAGTATCAGACCTCTAAACATAGACTGAATTGCATTTTTATCGCATTATTGAATTTGCAAATTATGTAAAGCGTATGTAAATTTGCATAAAATGAATATATAGTGACTCTTTGAAAAATTTTAAGCACATCTTTTTGAAATTTAAAAGTATACAACACTAAGAACATTTTTAGCACGTTGAAATTCTTCAAAAGTATATTGATATAGATTGTATTTACTATATTCACAATTGACTCCTGTAAAGCCATTTCCTGCACAATCGCAGAGAATCGTAGAGTGCCGAAAGTAGCACTGAGACTGCTCAGTGCAATTGCCTGAAAAGCATTTATTTCCATTACTTTTGCATACCGTACATTACATATGTTATGATTGACAGAGAGTAATTTGATTATATTACATACAGTGAATTTCAGTGATTAAGTAGAATGGCTTAAGTTCAATATTTTTGTCATTTGACATTTAGACAACAACACACAAACACACACACCAAAATGAAGAAAAAAAACAGCGTCTTCATAATAGTCCATAAAGCGTCTATTATTGGTATGTTAAGTGGATTGTCTGAATTATAAAAATAAGAAAAAAATAAACATGTTAACAATTTACCAACTTACACTGATAGCACTTCTTCTGTGCGGAGGGGTTTGCATTGGTATTTCCCGGGAGGAGACAAGCTGTCTTATTTGGACACTGAAAATTTTATTATGATCATTAACAAATAATTCAGCAATATAAATACTGCAAAATGGTTCTTTACCGTCGAAAATTCGTTTCGTTTTAAGCAAGTTTGTATTAAGCTATGTAATTTGATATAAAATAAAGAATCGGCAGTGGATTTCACATTTAGGTCTCTGGTAATAAGCAAGTTCGTTTCAAGTGGAGTCGACTGTACTTCTATTACAAAGAAAACAAAACAAACAATATTTTGTAATACAAACTGTTATTTGTGCATTATACTATTTTCATAGGACGAAAAAAGTCAAACTATGAAATCATTAAAAATAATGTATTTAAAAAACTCAAAACGTAAACGTATCTACAGTTGTATTTCATTTTTTAAAAATACTTAATATAATATATACTTATGATTAACATTTTGTTAAAACAATCGATTTTCTAACTCAACGGCACATGCTAATATAATACAAAATGTTATTTATTTTTCAGTTTAAGTCTTACCTCAGCGTTGCTGTCACAATTCTTCACATAAGGTTTCCCTTTCGATAGAAATGACGTGTTTGCCATTGACAGACAAAGCGCCATTACGCATATATAGATCTGGAAATTAGAAATGTTTTTTTAATTTTTATGTTAATGGCAGCTTATATGAGTAATGCGGTCATATACAAAATTAAACACATATTTAAGCATAATGATTAGCATAGCGTAGACAAATTGGGTATATATATATTTACAAAATCAGACGTGGGCATCGAAAACATATCCAAAACGCAACATTTCATGAACATTTTTTTGCTTTCTGTCTGACTTCCCAACTCATATGAACTATTAGCATTATAATTGTCTTTATTCAAAGAAAATGCAATTCGTTATTTTAATTTATATTTTACTGCTTTTAACTGCTTTTATATAATAGCGTTTTTTATAACGAAAAATCATATGCTAGAGTTTTCCTAATTTATTATCATGACTTAATCAATTTCAATTACAAGAAACAGTGTCCTATCCAGGTTTAATTTAAATACAATGTCTCTGTTGTAAAATGTAGCCTCGTACTTCATTACAATGTTGGTACAGTAATATTTCGCCGTCATTAATTACATTCGTTTAAGTAATTTTAATAATAAAAAAAGTGCTTAATCCAGTGTTAAGAGACGTGATAAAGTTTTTTTGACCTTACATCAAATCCAGTCTGGAGCAGAATTAATAGTATTGAACTGATTTGCAAACAGGTGAACTTTTAAAAAAAGGATGTGTCCTGGTGGCATATTAAGGCTGCAACTTTACGAACTTACCACAAGAAAGAGCGTGTGTGTCTTCATTCTTCTAACTAGGGTTGAATTCTGAAATACGTCAATCCATCCAGCTGTAAAAAACTTAAAACACTTAATCATAGTTCAAAACAATGCTATTATTTTTGTATTAATACATTTGATAATTACAACAACACTATGCTACTAGATGAGACAAGCTCTTTCATTTAACCTATACAATTTACCATTGAACTATTTTTCAATTGAGTTGTGTTTAATAGACTTTAAGGCGAGTATATGAAATGAAATAGTCTTTATACCGTCATCTTGCGTAACTGATAAAAGAAAATCACTTTTTGTCATTATACTGTTTGAAATACAATGTTTTACCAGTCTCTGAAGTTTAAAAGTTGAATTTTGATTATCAATGACATTTTTGTCAATAACAATAAAATAACGTAAGCGTAGCTTCAGAATTAAAATTTTGTTGATGCAAAAACTATTGTAAGTACACTTTACAGATACATGTAAATCAAAATCCTTTGATGCAAGAAGTAATGTAACTGCATTCAAATATTTTAATACTGCATTACTAAATAGCAAAATAATTTCTAAAATACAAATTTATCTCTAAATCTTCTTTATGAAACTCACATTTAAATAAAACGGTGTTTTTATTCTATTAATTTATTTATTTTCGATTAACCAATATCATTTTATTCCTACATGTCAACAGTGACAACAAACAATATAACCAGGCATTTTTAGTTACTGTTTTAATATTTTGTTGATATTTAAACAATATTCATGTAATATAAATTCATTCAATATTTTACTCAATTATTAGTTATGAAAATTAAGAACATTCTTTTTTGCATAAAATACAGACAATTTTATTATTTTTTAATTTTTCAACCATTATGCAAATTTCACAAATATTTAAACCGCATTATGTCACATGTATTACTGTGTATTTTTATATTTAAAAGTATAGAATCATATATATTAAACCTGGATAAAGTTATGCTGTGAAAGGCTTAACGATTGGTGTCAGGAAATCAGAAAAAATGAATTCAATGTATCAAAATCTCGAAAGGAGTAACAATGAAATCAAAATTAACGACAATTAAAGAATCGGTTTTTATGAAAACTGTTTATGAGATGAAAGAGAATATAAAATTTCAACATTTGACCCTGACTGACTCATCGGAATGAAGGTTCAAGTGAAAAAGCTTGTAAGATTATCAACAAGATTCCAATCAAGTCATGAATAGGATCTCACTGGGATATGTTGGAGAATTCTTAGCGAATTCATCCAAATTCTTTACTTGGATCAGAACTACAAATGTCAAAAACATCATTCTCAGTATTGTTATATTTTCTAGTCCTATTGGGTCATAGGTTCCAAGACTTGTGTCGAATTGAGTACTACTCAAATCTTGCTAGAGGAGCTAGCCTAAGGGAAGTTGCAATTTTTCAGACTAAATCAAACCAAGTCTGCATTTTTCATGTTATTTTGTTGTGACTTATGCTTCCAAAGTATCACAGTTGATCCAGAGTTTTGCCATATTAAAACATATGATGAACCTTTGGTTTGATAATAGATTGCAGTCAATTTGAGAAAAATTAGTTCTGTACCCAATTGAAGTTTAAAGTGCAGATCTTTCAACATTATTAGTTGAGTGATAAACTGGTTTGGTTGAAGTCTGTCTTTGCAAAAAGAACATTATGAAATTAACTATCTTTATTGTAACTAGAAGCTTATTTACTGTGTCAAAGAGTAATTTGTTCTTGTTTTGCTAGTCTGGTCATATTTGAATGTATTGCTATAATATGCGCATACTCTTAAGTTGAAAGTAAAAATTCAATACTGCATTGGACTCAAATATAAATCTTGCCAACAGTATTTGTTTTGCACTATATAGTCAGTCAGTATTGACTTTTTGATATCTGTTACTCTAGTAAAAAGTTGTGACTTATATGTTATCTGTATCGAAACGTGGTTCATTATCGACAACGATGCATTTTAAGCCTGAGGTACAGTTATATCATTTATCATAAACACATTTAGATATCTGTACAATGCAGAAATTACGAAACTTAAGATTAAAAAAGTAATTTTAAAAATATGTTAAGTTAACTTACATCACTTTTTGCGGTTAAAAACAAAGTATTGTGAGTGAGAAAGAATGTCTAATCTAATGAATAATCGTATCCTTTAAAACCAATTAAATAATACCAATAAATGATATTTTAATATTATTGTCTTGTATTAAAACGGTTTACTCAAAATGAAAAAAATAAATTTTTAGTCTCCTGATACTTTTTTAAAATGTCATTTATAATACATTTGCGCCAAGATGACGACACGTGTGTTAGATAAATTAAATGCTTGTATTATTTTGCTCTTATTTCCCTAGCACTGCTGAATTCCTTCAGTTACTAATGCCTAGTACTCTATTGATTTCTAGTTATTAAACTACTTTAAAACTTTTCGATTAGCAATTATGCAGATTTTATCAGTTTTCTGTACGAAATCTGCTGTGGTCAAAGTATTATTTTTACAATAGGTTTGCTCTTAAATTTGATTTCCTGATCATGATCTTGCAACTACATAATTAGGTAAAGAAGCAGACGCTTGTTTCGTTTAAATGTAACATGTCTTAAAAAGTTTTGCCATCTGAAAGAGGTAATAGAAAAAGAATTCTAGGTAAACATTTTCTAGAAACTTCGCATCATTTTTATATTTCCCCATTCATTATAGTTTCAATGTCGTTTTCAATGTATTTTATTAATCAAATTATCAATAATTTCAGATTTTGAAAGAAAATCATAGAGAATTGCATTGCGGATAAGAGTAAACATTTGATACATTCACGTGTGATGAACATATACATAGTGTTTATACTTTATGGTTATTCAATGTAATTTTACACGTTGTACTCATTCATGTAACGTTCAACTCTGTTCAACTCTCTCTCTCTCTCTCTCTCTCTCTCTCTCTCTCTCTCCCTCTCTCTCTCTCTCTCTCCATCTCACCGGAGGCTTTATTTTTTAAGCTACAGAAATTATCCTAAACAATCTATTACCCCTCTTTCACATAATCATTATCAGTTTTTCGAAACTAAGACAGTTGCGTTATTTTGAATATATGAAACAAAAATATTACAAATAAAACACTTAAGACATTGACTTACCTTAATTTGTTAAACAAATATCCTTAATATGATATAGAATATTCACAATATCAAAGCTTGAAGAAAAATCTCATTTTAAATAATTTAAACAATATTATTTCTAATAAATAGAAGTTTACCTTTTGTTCAGTCGAAAGGACGTGACGATTATAACATAATAACATCAGAAAATCATCAGTATTTATCTAGCTGAATTTGTAGCAGGTGTGAACACAGTTTCATTTTTTACTTGTCAACAAGATCTTTGCAAATATGATAATTATTGTTTTGTCCAATCAAGTGTTGACATATCATTCTGCAATTGATGTATAATTGTGTTTAGATACAACAATTTAAAGCTTTTTCCTCAATAAAGTGCAGAGTGTTTTTACAAAGTCCGCCCTAACGGCAATGCTGCGCAGAAGAAAATGATGGATTAAAATGTATTCTCATTTGTTTGCACTTTAAGTTTGTTAAAAACAATCAATTTGCGAAGTTCAACTATTTCAAACAAGTTATCTTTGGAATTTATGGTGTACTACCTCTGCTATGAAGAGTTTTCAAATAGGCTAGAATTACTGTTAACTGCATTGAAACATAAGGCCGTAAGTTCAAACCCCAGAGGTTCAACATTTTCTTTCTTTCTTTTTTTCTTTAAACATTATTTATAGGATTCTCATATCTGTTTTGGCAAAAATACTTTAATTTCAATAAAATAATAAATATATGTATCAATTGGCTAAATAATGCTAAATCTTGTAGCAAATACATTATACAATTTACAAACATAAATACCTTAATTAAATTAAAATAAGAAGTGCAACCCGTTATTGTACACACCTATATACACTTGATAGATACAATGTAAGAGTGCAACCCGTTTTTGCAAATAAATATATACCTGATATGGACTCAATGTAAGAGTGCATTCCGTTTTTGCACATAAATATATACCTTATATGGACTCAATGTAAGAGTGCATTCCGTTTTTGCACATAAATATATACCTTATATGGACTCAATGTAAGAATGCAACCCGTTTTGCACATAAATATATATCTTATATGGACTCAATTTAAGAGTTTTACCCGTTTTTGCACACAACTGTATACCGTAAAGCGATTCACCTCAACAGTGCAACCCGTTTTTGTACACATCCATATACACTTGATAGATACAATGTAAGAGTGCAACACGCTTTTGTACACGCATAAATACTTTATATAGACACGATTTAAGAATTCAACCTGTTTTGTACAGGCTCAAATACATAAATAAGATTCAATATAACAGTGTAACTCTTTTTTTTGCACTTACATATGAACCTTAAATGGATTAAATTTAAGAGTGCAACTTGATAGGCACTGTACCTCTGCTCTGGCAGGTACGGAAGTTTGCAAAAGTAAAGGAAACTGGTAATGATAAACTGCCTGAGAGCCTGTTCAGGAACAATGCAGTGGCTGAACTGTTCTCTGGTAGATTTAATGTGCCATGCTCCAAAGAGAAAACTACTACCACCATCACCACCACCATACTTGCATTTTAGGGATATTTTCAAAAACTATAGGGACTGGACATTATAAATGAATAGCAAACCTTGTAGACAAAGATCACATAGTACAGATTGTCCCGCTAATCTTGGTAGTCACTGGTCGTGACGAATGGAAAGAATTTCTGTTGCGACCAGCAGGTAATGTGATCAGTGTGCCAACATTTAGTCATTTTACATGAAAAAATGGTTTTTAATGGAAGCTAAATGAACCATCAACAGAAACTCAGAATCTCAAATTCCATGATAGGTAACACAGTGTCGTGTCAACGTAACCAAATAAATTATTATGTCATTTTCACAGCCATGAAAAGTATATGATACAATATTTGTTCTACATACATCAGCTCTGTTGCTAATAGAAATTTATATACCAGTCCTGCTCTTTGAGAAATTACCTTGTCACACACAACTATGTACAAATTATTCCTTCTTTTACTTCAAATTATTGTTTAAACTTAAAACATATTTCAATAATCATGATATCAAAAATGTATTTGTTAGACAATTTTTTTTCTTTTTAAAATGAGTTATACAATTATGATAAATATATGAGTTATATGATTATCTGAATAGACAAAAACTGAAACGTTTTGGGCACATGTTACACACTGTCATTAGAATATTCAATATTTCAACGTTATTTTCATTTTGTTAGGCTGTTATTTTATCTAACAATGTACATCTTTTCCCTAATTTATATTCATGAACCACTACTGGTCTCATCTGAGGATACATGGCCATGCCAAAAGAACATGAGGTTCAAACCAATCTGCCTTGTTTATGGGGAATGATGACAAGGCTCATGAAAAGGGGAAAATTGTGCTGAGGAGGGGTAAAAATGGGAAATTAAGACAAAGAGAAATTAGTCTATTTAATGTTAAATTGTGATACAATTATCTGATTAAACTACACTGTCTCTCACTTACCATAAAATTGTTTATCTCAAATGTATGACTGGGCTGAATTTTGCTTGGTTCAAAATTATTTGGTTACGATAATCATTTTCTTTCTTTTCTTCCACTTTTATTTTGGTTAGATTTTAAATTGCATTAACACAGTAGATGTCATTATTAAGGTGACTTTCCAGCTTTACTGGTGGAGGACCCTAGGTGCCCTTTTGTGCATTATTTCAGGCACAAACAGAAACCTGTAAATTAAAAAGCGCAATTTATACAACAAGGTATAAATCTTATTATTTCTTGCACTTTAAAATGTTTACGTGCAAACTGACATGCATTAAAACCCCAATAAATAATAGCAATTAATAGTGCAGGAAAAGTGCAGCCAGGCCTATAAGTTCATATTCTAAAACAACAGCTGTGACCAGTTTTGTATTATCAACAGTTAGAATGGATTATGTTGATTATTGTAACAATATCTTATTAAGTTTAGAGATAAGTTAACAAATAAATATTAAAATGTGTAATTTTGTTTGGTTCACGATATCAGTCAAATCAACACAGTCACCAGCAACCCTTAAAAGAACTCCACGGAGGCCAAATGTCTAAAAAATAAAATTTAAATTTCTTACTAAGATCAACTGGAATATTTAACACGGAACGATTTGCAAAGCATATTCAAGAGATATTCTCAGAAATGATATGAAAACCCTATTAATGAATGATAAGCGTTAAAACAATTTCTATTTTGGGTAATTTTTTACACTAAAATTACTTTCTTATGAAAAATCTGAGTGAGAGAATGATTTAAAATTTTGCACACAAGTTATTTGTCTAGACCTTCACCAAATGAAATATTTATCTCGACAAATTATGAGTCGCGTCATATAAAAAGACATCAGCGGACTCCCTTTATCATGTCAAGTCTTAAATTGACTTGTCCATCTTTCAATATGTTGAATATCATTCATTTGTTTGAGTGAAAATTTCAAATAATTCAATGTACTGACTGAATAGCAAACAGAACGTTACATGGATGTGCTGGCTGATCTTAGTTTGCACAGATTGCATGGACAAAATATGTTACTGCCACCAGGTTAAGGGTAACTGATCATACCGTATGGCGACCCTACAGCTTTTCTTGTCATAACATTCCAGCAACATTATTGACAGGAAAATTCACCAAAATAAAGCACCCTACCTCAAGCAAAGTAGCTTGACTAAGCTTTTCGAGGGCTACCAAAGTATAATTTGTGTTAAGATTGGTCAAAGTCTACCTTGTTAATTAGGAGGATATGTTTTTTTAGGTAATTCTGGAAAACAACGACGACAAGGAAATCATAAAACAAAAGTGCAGGGTTTTATCTTAACAGAATATAGCCTTGTGAGGAAACTTTCTAATGTAAGTCTGACATCCCTTCATTAGACAAATCCTGAGTTTGATCCCTTAAAGTCAGATGTGGCTGGTTAAATCTAAAACGGGGAAAGACAATTAGCTAAAAACTGTAAAAAATGTCATAAAAGTAAAAGAGAAAAATAAACACTCCATAAACTACCATTAGTAAATCGCCTTGTTTATTTTTTGGATATTTTTTACACCAATTCTTTAGTTTCTAGTACACTTTCAAATACCGGGCTATATTAAAACATTCCTGCAAAACTTCAACTCTTCAAAAACCTACAATGAAATAGATAATAAACTCTCAGCACGTGATACGATAGGATTCATGTATAGTCTGCCAACATGCGACCATGCTGGCAATTATTAAATCTTTCAGTCAATAAAAAGTTGTCATGATGAAAATCAGACTGAAGATCAAGTCATATGCTAAGCATTTTCTTTAAATCATTTGGTAACAAACAACGTATATTCCTTAAATAGGTGGAACTGAATGGGATTAGTCTTTGCCACCACTCATAGAGCCAGGCACACCCAAGCAGTCTCACAAACAGAAGTTTATGGCACAATATGTCTCAGAAATTCATACTTATCAAATATTATAATATTGCGCAATATTATATTACACAAAAAACTCAAAGCACTGATAAGACATATAAAGACTGTTACAATTTGCAGTTAAATTTTAATATTTCCATATTGAAATCCCTTAAAATTTAATAGGACCATTCTAAATTTAAAGCAAGGAAAATCTTTTAAACTAATCAATTAATAAATAAACTAATAGTTTAGAGGTTAAAATTCAAAATGATAACTTAAGAGACATGGGATATTTGATATTATAATAACCAAAGTGTTAAAGAACTACATGCACATTTAGCCTTCTAAATGTCATGAAATTGACATGGTTTTTGAATTTTGAACTCTCGAGGGTTAATTCAGGGAATTTAGGCTCTGAAAAATACTGTACTTTCTTAAATCGGAAATGTCAAACTAGCCTGTAGGATTTGAAATTTCTTCCAATTCAGTGTACATGTACTTGAAAGGATAATAAGAATGCTAAGTTTTTTTGGTCAAATCCTTTGCCAATGTTAAGTCATTCCCAATTAAATTATGCACCATTTTTTGTCAACTGTTAGATGATGGTGTTTTTGTAATAAACATTTCATTTCCTATACTGCAAAAACATGTTACAAACATTCTTTTTTTGGTTCGATATTATGTATTGGTAATCGATAAACAGTCAAAACCGTCCCCAAACCACCCCAACTAATTATCCATTTACATGACAAAAGCCACCCTTAAACAACACTATAGTGCTTAACAAAATAATGGATCCTATTAATAAGGAAGGAAATGTTACATTTCTCCTTTGTGCAGCCCTGGTTCACATGTTTGACTGTAATTAGGCATCAAAGTATAAATTTAATAATTTCAAA